GTAAAATATCAAACAAACAAAGTATAAGGTAGGTCCCACGTACTATATCCTTCTATCTCACCCGATAATACCATCTAATCCTTCTACCAAACATGCCCAGATAGGATGTTTGGATGGTTGCATATAGGGGATTAAACACATGTTGGATTGAACAAAAATGAAATGGGTCCCAATTATCCCTTATTTGGGAGGTAAAAATGGTACTGATGTCGCTGGTCCACGCCACCAACCACAATCAACCCATGCCATTTGCCACCACTGACCACAACCAATNTCCAATTATCCCTTATTTGGGAAGTAAAAATGGTACTGATGTCGCTGGTCCACGCCACCAGCCACAATCAACCCATGCCATTTGCCACCACTGACCACAACCAATTCATGCCATTTGCCATCGTCAGCCACACCACCAAAGGAAGGGTGTTTAAACGCAGATCTCCATATTCAACACCGACAACATATAAAAATCCAAACTCTTTTGAGATTAATAGCGTCAAAACTATAGTATATATGAATTGCTTTGAACATAATAAATATACTCAGTTGTATTTGGATTCACTGGGCAAAATTTTTTCTTGTGAACAAATAAATGGGATTTTGGAGTTAATAATTCTATTAATTATACAAAGATAATCAAATAATGCAAATAGACAAGTTGTAAAAACTATTGCGATTTTGTTGGGATAAGTTTCTTAGAAATAACTAATTGCAAATTTTTTTTTCTTGAAAGAAAGAAATGTAATTTTTCTAATAAAAAGAAATGAATTACTGAAAAGGGTATATGATAAAAATTAAAAAAAACTTTAAATTCATGGGACTCAGAAAATTTTTAATTTTACCTCCCAAACCTAAAATTGGAACGAAATAAACTTCTTTTAACCCAACGACGCAAACACTTGTAAAAGGTTCATTTTTAAAAACATTTTCGAAATATTTGATCATGTTAAGCATCGANATTCAATTTTGTGTCTCTACTTGATGCTTATTTTTTTTCATATTTGGTTTTGCATCTTATAATTTTATTTGTTCCTTTAATCTGTATTTATTTTTTTTCCCTTCTTGTTTCTGTTTGCTTTTTTTTTTCTTTGTTTCGTTCTTTTCTTTTTTCTCGTTTCGATCTATTTTTCTCTTTCTTTTTTTTTTCTTCTTTCGTTCTTTTTTTTTTATTTCAACATGCTTGATTTTTTTTACTTGTTTCGTTTTTTACTCTTTTTCTTTTCTTGCTTCGTAAATATATTTATGCATTCAAGCTAATTGTCTTCTTTCATTATTTTTTTCTTACGATGACTTCTTTCATTAAAAGAGCGTACATATAATGAGTGAATTTAACTATTAATGAGATATATGTAGCATGAGGTGTGTATAAAATGAGTGAATTTAGTAGTTTNTCATACCCCCAGAAATCTCCATTTCCACCTCATTTAATTTATTATTATCAAACTATTAAGTTCACCCCTTTTATACTAATCTCATTAGTAATTAAACTCACCCCATGCTATATACACCCCTTTTAATAAGTAAACTCACTTATATTTTGTCATAATTTGGGTTAAGGATGCAACTCGAGCGGGTTGGGTTGGTTGAGAGATCAACCCTAACCCAACTTTAGGTATATAATCTTCAATTTTAACCTTAATTGTAACCCGGCCTCAACTNTTTTTTTAAAAATAATTTTTAGGCTCTTTTAATTAATAGACTCAATTTAATTAAGTTCAAATCTTTCGTTTTGGTATGGATTTAAATTTTGTGTTTGGATTATTACTGTACATTTATAAATTATGGAGTCTTCGTTAAAGGGAGGTCTTAATATTTTTTAATTGGATTTGTATTTTTATAAAACTTTTTTATAAGACTTAAATTATTTATAAATTTAATTTTTGTACGTGGACTATTTATTCCTTAAAAATGGGCCTAAAGCCCAAACTTTTTCAAGTTGAGCCGCCCCCTTGAAGAATTGACATTGGTCTTGGGTCTCTTCAACCATCAAATTTGAAAAACNTTAAGACGAGTGAGAAAGGGAGATTGAAAGTCTGATACTAGATGAGAAACGAGTAACGAGTGAAAGAGGCATTGGAGAGTGATGGAGGCGTGAGGGGTGAAAACTTAAAGTGAAATGAAAATCTGGACTCTGAAGAGTGAAGATAAATACTAACTTTAGTTAAATATATTTATATATTTATGTATATTTGGGTTCAACCCGATTTTAATATTCGGGTTAAACCCAACAACTCGAGGTTTACTCTAATTCAATTCGGGTTAGGTTTTTTTTGCCTAGACCCAACCCAAGTATTAAAAATTATAATCTAAATCCTGTTTTTTTCAGGTTGGGCTCGGGTTGAATTTGAGTTAGCCCATCCAAGTTGCACCCTCTGATTAGGATTTTATTCTCTATCTTTTCTTATGCACTCACAAAAACACTTTTTCAATATAATTTTTTTTAGTGAGATACATATTAGTAAGACTTTTCAATTTAATTCTATGTTTAATTTCATATTTATTATATGAATTATTATTATTTTTGGTATATTTTGATATCTTTGTCAAGTTTAATAATTTTTTATTTAGAATTTATATGTGTGTATATATATGTATAATTTCAGATTATTTGTTCTTGTTTATCTTGTTAAGGTTTTTCATCTATACTTGTTATTTTTTTTCTTATTCAATTTTGTGTCTCTACTTGATGCTTATTTTTTTTCATATTTGGTTTTGCATCTTATAATTTTATTTGTTCCTTTAATCTGTATTTATTTTTTTCCCTTCTTGTTTCTGTTTGCTTTTTTTTTTCTTTATTTCGTTCTTTTCTTTTTTCTCGTTTCGATCTACTTTTTTCTTTTTTTTTCTTCTTTCGTTCTTTTTTTTTATTTCAACATGCTTGATTTTTTTTACTTGTTTCGTTTTTTTCTTTTCTTGCTTCGTAAATATATTTATGCATTCAAGCTAATTGTCTTTTTTCATTATTTTTTTCTTACGATGACTTCTTTCATTAAAAGAGCGTACATATAATGAGTGAATTTAACTATTAATGAGATATATGTAGCATGAGGTGTGTATAAAATGAGTGAATTTAGTAGTTTGAAAATAAAAAATTAAGAGATTTATCAAATTTTTTAGTAATTTTAGTTTTACCGTTAGTTTTTCTTTTTTAAAAAAAAAAAATTATTTTTAGGCTCTTTTAATTAATAGACTCAATTTAATTAAGTTCAAATCTTTTGTTTTGGTATTGATTTAAATTTTGTGTTTGGATTATTACTGTACACTTATAAATTATGGAGTCTTCGTTAAAGGGAGGTCTTAATATTTTTTAATTGGATTTGTATTTTTATAAAACTTTTTTATAAGACTTAAATTATTTATAAATTTAATTTTTGTACGTGGACTATTTATTCCTTAAAAATGGGCCTAAAGCCCAAACTTTTTCAAGTTGAGCCGCCCCCTTGANTGTATTTTTATAAAACTTTTTTATAAGACTTAAATTATTTATAAATTTAATTTTTGTACGTGATATTCCTTAAAAATGGGCCTAAAGCCCAAACTTTTTCAAGTTGAGCCGCCCCCTTGAAGAATTGACATTGGTCTTGGGTCTCTTCAACCATCAAATTTGAAAAACAGACAAGAAAACCAGAATCAGAAAAACGAAAATGGAGAACAAAGACAAGTTCAAGGTTGCACTCACAGTCACTCTCTTCGCAGCCGTCTCCATCTTCTTCACAAATCAATANAAACCCAACAACTCGAGGTTTACTCTAATTCAATTCGGGTTAGGTTTTTTTTGCCTAGACCCAACCCAAGTATTAAAAATTATAATCTAAATCCTGTTTTTTTCAGGTTGGGCTCGGGTTGAATTTGAGTTAGCCCATCCAAGTTGCACCCTCTGATTAGGATTTTATTCTCTATCTTTTCTTATGCACTCACAAAAACACTTTTTCAATATAATTTTTTTTAGTGAGATACATATTAGTAAGACTTTTCAATTTAATTCTATGTTTAATTTCATATTTATTATATGAATTATTATTATTTTTGGTATATTTTGATATCTTTGTCAAGTTTAATAATTTTTTATTTAGAATTTATATGTGTGTATATATATGTATAATTTCAGATTATTTGTTCTTGTTTATCTTGTTAAGGTTTTTCATCTATACTTGTTATTTTTTTTCTTATTCAATTTTGTGTCTCTACTTGATGCTTATTTTTTTTCATATTTGGTTTTGCATCTTATAATTTTATTTGTTCCTTTAATCTGTATTTATTTTTTTTCCCTTCTTGTTTCTGTTTGCTTTTTTTTTTCTTTGTTTCGTTCTTTTCTTTTTTCTCGTTTCGATCTATTTTTCTCTTTCTTTTTTTTTTCTTCTTTCGTTCTTTTTTTTTTATTTCAACATGCTTGATTTTTTTTACTTGTTTCGTTTTTTACTCTTTTTCTTTTCTTGCTTCGTAAATATATTTATGCATTCAAGCTAATTGTCTTCTTTCATTATTTTTTTCTTACGATGACTTCTTTCATTAAAAGAGCGTACATATAATGAGTGAATTTAACTATTAATGAGATATATGTAGCATGAGGTGTGTATAAAATGAGTGAATTTAGTAGTTTGAAAATAAAAAATTAAGAGATTTATCAAATTTTTTAGTAATTTTAGTTTTACCGTTAGTTTTTCTTTTTTAAAAAAAAAAAATTATTTTTAGGCTCTTTTAATTAATAGACTCAATTTAATTAAGTTCAAATCTTTTGTTTTGGTATTGATTTAAATTTTGTGTTTGGATTATTACTGTACACTTATAAATTATGGAGTCTTCGTTAAAGGGAGGTCTTAATATTTTTTAATTGGATTTGTATTTTTATAAAACTTTTTTATAAGACTTAAATTATTTATAAATTTAATTTTTGTACGTGGACTATTTATTCCTTAAAAATGGGCCTAAAGCCCAAACTTTTTCAAGTTGAGCCGCCCCCTTGAAGAATTGACATTGGTCTTGGGTCTCTTCAACCATCAAATTTGAAAAACAGACAAGAAAACCAGAATCAGAAAAACGAAAATGGAGAACAAAGACAAGTTCAAGGTTGCACTCACAGTCACTCTCTTCGCAGCCGTCTCCATCTTCTTCACAAATCAATACAGAAAACACCGAAGACAACAAAAGCAGCACTCTCAAAACTCTTGCTATCTCAAAACAGAACCCAAGCCTCAAAACACTTTCAAGCGCGTTTTGGCCGACAACTGCTACTCTCCTTTCAAACACCTCAAGCTCACCACCACCGACTCCACCACCACCACCGGTACGTTTCCAAATCCTCCACGAGAGAGAGACAGAGTGAAGTCTTTTTTTTGTCTTAAACCCTAGCTGAAAATTTAGGGTTGTGTTTGGTTTGGCAGAGGAATTTGTGAATTTGCATCCGTACAAAGCGGAGATTTCGGCTTTATTGGAGAGAACGGAAATAGAATTCGAGTTTTTTGATGGAGAATTCAATTTGGAAATGAGCGACTCTTTCGTTTGGGTTGAAACGGAGTCGCACTTACAAGAGCTTGCGGAGTTGTTGAGGAAAGAAAGAGTCTTTGCTGTTGACACTGAGCAGCATGGTTTACGCTCCTTTTTAGGTTTCACAGCCCTTGTCCAGGTAAAAACTTTGGATTTTCATCTCCAATCTGACTAAAATTCCACGAGTTTGAAATTTCCTTGTTACTTGAATTTCTTGAGTAGATTTCGACGCAAAGGAATGATTATTTAATCGACACTATAGCGTTACACGATGTAATGGGAATTCTTCGACCAGTTTTCGCTAATCCTGACATCTGTAAGGTAAATTTTGAGTGTAATGGCCATACTAGTTTACTGATGTTTGTCATTTTATCTGATTTAAAATGTCATGTTAGGTAAATTTTAGGTGTTAATTTGTTCTTGTAATGTTCTGGTGTATATTAGTAGTTGTCATATCGTGAGATTGAAGTCATGTATAGATGCTTTTGTGAGTTCTTCTTGCTGACAGTAATTTCTGAATCTTTTTCTGAGAAGCAATTTGATTTGAACTGCAATGTATTTTAAATCGAATTACAATGTTACACTTCTATTTTGTATTATGATGTATTTATTGATTGCAGAAATTTCTGATGTAGGTGTTCCATGGTGCTGATAATGATGTTCTCTGGCTACAAAGGGATTTTCATATATACATTGTCAATTTATTTGATACTGCAAAGGTGACCTTTTGGTGTTAAATTATAGTAATTATGCCATATGTTTTGCTTTAGATTGAAGCTTATTCTTCTTTGGGTGATTAAATGACATGAATTATTTCTAAAAGCAGCAGTTCTTTTGGGATGGTATGGGTGGCCTTTTTTGGAAGGGGCATGGAAAAAAAGACATGGTTTCATTTTCAATTTTTTTATTAAGCTAAAATTTTCCGATAGGTGAATACCTGATTGTGTGGCATCCATTTTTTCATTAATTTGACTTTTGATCTTTTGTTGCAGGCATGTGACGTATTGTCAAAACCACAGAAATCATTAGCATACTTACTAGAGATGTATTGTGGTGTTGCCACCAACAAAATGCTACAGGTTTGAGCTTAGGCTTTCTTTTTCAAGCAAATGATATGTTGTTACCGAGAAAGAATATGTAAAAGAAACACGAATCATCCATATCCAAAACACGAACACACTTTAACAGAAAAAGACATAAGAGAAACAATGGTAAGGGGTAATCTCACTGCCAATAACTATAACTCCTTGTACTGATGTGAACCGGAACCTGTGTGGTGTTGCTATTTACCTTTATGTAAGTAAGAACCATGCCTTTTGGGTTTCCTTCGCTCAGACTTATGCATTAAACAACTTGTCTGAGTTGTAGCGTGAAGACTGGAGGCGACGTCCACTGCCTTTGGAAATGGTGCAATATGCTCGAACAGATTCACACTTTTTGCTGTATATTGCAAATTGTATTGCTTCTGAGCTCAAACAGCAGGACAATGGTATGTCTTCTATCTCATGTCTGTGTTTCAAGGTTGAAATTGCTATATTTATCCTATTTGCATACAGATAGGGAAATTTGAGTAGAGAGATCTTAAGATGAAAGACTGGAAGTCAAAATTTTTGTATTTTTTCTATACCTCCCTATCGGTTTAATGCATGATCTCCCACATTTTTCATGATGCTTGACACATATTGAACGACATATAGAGCTTTTTGCAAAACCCTAGCCTCCTTGTGTTTTGAGCTGTTACTAAGGAAGTTTAGCTGATCTCTGTTGATTATCTTCTATCTAAACCATGTGTTCAGGCCCTGAGGCCCCATACACAGGGAAAAGTATTGCCAGTTGGATGGTAAAAATTGCAAAATATTAGAATAGTACACTTCCCGAGTAGTGGAATACTAATGCATGTTTTATTATGTTGGATATGAGCAAGTCAAAAAAAAATGCAACGATGAAGCTCACAATGCTATGGATACCACCCATCGCATGTTCGGAGCAATTGTCTTCTGTGAATACGTTTTTAAGAATTGTAAGTAAAAGGGGCGTAAAAGTCAGTAAGCTTAACCCCTAACCTAAAGTCACCACTTACTCTCCAGTTTTACTCCCCAAAAACTGGGGGAGTAGAAATGGTGGGCAGGAAGGACTGTTGTTATTTAACGCGCAAGGCAAAGTGAGGCGCTAAGGTTCTTGTGGGTGGTTTTGCTATAAAAAAATCAAGAAAACTACTCTGCTTAACTCNGTTGTTATTTAACGCGCAAGGCAAAGTGAGGCGCTAAGGTTCTTGTGGGTGGTTTTGCTATAAAAAAATCAAGAAAACTACTCTGCTTAACTCAACCAAGCAAACCCTTCTTTCTGTAACTCAAGTCCAGGTCATTTTATGTCATTCGCTCTGCCTAGGGCCCTATATTTTGTTGAATCCCAAGATATCATATCTTATCTCGATTTCAATCTATGTTTTTGGTCTTCCCCTTCATTTTCTCATCATTACTTTCTGTATTGTTGTTACTTCACACCAGCTTAGTGTATGTGCTTTGAGTGTGATCATTTATTTTTACTTTTCTTACTATCTCATGGATGTATTTGTTTTATTTTTATCCTTATTTCTTATAAAATACATCCATCTCAACATCTGCACAGCAGTCACACTTATTTAGTTAACATTTTTTTTCAGTTTCCTAGAACTCTAGCAGAACAGCCTCCTGTTCCCTAAGACTATAAGAGGACAAGCTCATTGGCTATCTAATGTACAGCTTTAGTTGCCAAACTGTTAACAGCTCTGGGGGTCCTTACATCTTACAGTATTACAATCTTTGAGGGCATCACTCGTTGATAAACAACTGAACCACTAATTTACAATCATTCCCACAGTTAAATCGTGAATGTTCAAAGCCTTTGTCAAGTTATCCTTCTCCTCAATAGCAAGAGCTTCACACTCTTGTGCTGAGCTGCGCGAATTGTACTTTGCACCCTCAAAGATTAGATTTTTGACATTGCACCCTCAATGTATTAAAAGTGTTACAATGTGACCCTTCTATTAGTTCCCGNTGCTGAGCTGCGCGAATTGTACTTTGCACCCTCAAAGATTAGATTTTTCACATTGCACCCTCAATGTATTAAAAGTGTTACAATGTGACCCTTCTATTAGTTCCCGTTACTCATTCTATCAACTTCAATGGGGTGGATTTTGACAGAATAAGTAACGGAAGGTAACGAAGGGCTACATTGCAACACTTTCAATGCATTGAGGGTGTAATGTGAGAAATCCCATCTTTGAGGGTGCAAAGTGGAAAAGCTTAAATCTTTCGGGGTGCAAGGGGAGATTCTGCCTATTTACAATAGAACTAGAAATGTGTTAAGGTTTAGTTGACTCTTTAGGTTTGCTAGTATATGATTGTTGTATGGCACACAAAAAAGAAAGAAAAAAAGGACTTGATATTGCTATTGGATAATGAGATTGTTAAAACGCTGAAATATTCAGAAGGAACGGAAACGCTTTCCTTGGGGACTTGTTTATGCCATACTCCTTCCCTCACCCAAAATGAAAAAGGAAAAGAGAAGGAATTTCTTGCTATGCAACATAGCTGGAAACAATGCATGTAGGTTGAGTATAGACCTAGGCAAAAACAAGCAATCCAACTTATGACCTCTTAATTTTGTGTCTTTCATTTATCTTTGTATCATAATCCTAAAGATATTAGTGTATCAGAAAATTCAGCTTGCATCGATGACAAATTCCATTCTGTTCTCGAGGCTAGCCGGCGTTCCAATGTGATCTGTTTGCAACTTTTTGCGAAAGATATTGATGCTGCTCCAGGAGAATCTGCTGCATCATCACTTATTTTCCGTCACTTCAATGATCAAGGAAATGTGTCATCAATTTTTGCCGAAAATAAGGTCTGCTAGTTCTGTTTTCTTTAGGTGTCAATAAAAGGTTGCCTAAGTAAATTTTGATAACCTTTCACTGGTTATTTCTTTCGATTTCAGGATTTTGTGAGGCGACTGTGCACCTGGAGGGATTTAATGGTTAGTTTGAATTTCTTCTTAATTTCATCTCCTATTTCGAGGCTAGTGTGATTATATTAATGAGAAATGCTTGTACATTTTGATGAACAGTGATGCATAAAGTGAGATTTTATTTGATTATTTGGGGCATAGTCATTTGACACATTTTGCTCTTATGTATAGGCACTTTCTTTTTCGTTTTATTTGGTTTAGTGGTTTGAGTGATATCTAATTTTTTTCAACGAATTGTGGTACTAATGAAAAGGCATGGCATGTCCTAAAAAGAGAGGAATTTACTGGTCAATCTCGAATAGATTAGCATGCTAGCTGATAATTTTACTTTCTAAAATCGAGGAGGTGGATGGTGGGTCATGTGATTTCAGACTGACGAAATCCCTTTGTTGGTTGTGGGCAAATTTTGGATGCAGTCCTGGTTCTGAATAGGTGTGAGAAGGAATATGCCAGAGTTGTCAATTATCAATTGGGGATAGCTAGAATATGTTGTGAAGCAAATTGGTTTTGTTTTGTGTCTAAATTAAAATCTTGATTGGTATTTTACGGGTTCTATCTTGTCTCCTTTTTTGCTTATGAGGTTTGAGGCAAAGAGATCTCCTTTCTCCTCTCCTTTACATTATCATGATAGAGGCTTTTAATGGGCAGTTTACAATGGCTATGAGTGAAGGCATGTTAAATGGTTTCCTCATTGGAGTTGGAAACGATTGACCAGACATGCTTTCATTATGGTGCCACCTTTAATGCGTCCAAGATGCTTTGAGGCAGCTTCTATTTTGGGAAGGTGTCTGCCTCTGAGAATAAGATTTTATTTTTGAACTCAAATATGGTTCCTCTGAACTCCTTCTTTAAGGCTGTAGCAGCACAAGATTTGACAATAAAGAGATTGGAAACACGCTAGCCAAGAGAAAAAGTATGTAGTGACAAATGGAAGGGATTTAATTATCTACCTTGTGAATTCCCTTTTCTTTCCATCAATTTTTGTCTTTAGAGTTGTCTGGACGAGACTATGCATATAGAATTCTAGACTAAATTATTTCTGTTAAAATATGAGAGGGGCCTCTATCTTGATTTTGCCTTTTTTCTGCAGAAAGATGATATTTTGACCATGAAGCTGGATGGTCCAATGAGACTATTTTCCTTTGAGCATTCTTAGCTATTCTTCATAAGAATATTAAGTAGGTCATATGCTTACCATACTGTGTAGTGTTTCCTCTAGTATGTAATGTTGCACTTATTATTTTATTCTGGTGGGTGATACCTGCAAATCGAACTTGTGTTCTTTGATGTTAATGTTGATGTGTGCATGTCCTTTCAGGCCCGTGTGCATGATGAGAACTTAAGATATGTATTATCAGATCAAGCAATTGTTGCTCTTGCGGTTAAGGTTCCAACCACCTTAACGGATATATACAACACCATAGCACAAGCTGATATAGACGTTGATTCTCTGGATCTTAACTCTTCCTTCCAATCTCCATATCCTGTTGTTTGCAGTCATTTGGATGACTTCAAAATTTTGTTCCAAGACAAGATGGTCGAGCCAGATGAGATATTTCAACTGATTCTTCAAAGGCACCTGGGTCCAAATGGGACTTGTCCTCTGTCAATTTATAACTATGCTTTGTTGACCAAAAGTAACATGAAACTAACAAATAGATTAGTTTCCAGACGAAATGGGCGCAGAAATGCAAAACAAGTTACTCGAAAGGCTTCTCGAGAACTGTTTGTTCAAAAATTTTCCTGCAAATCTCCAGTTTATCACAACTGTAGGATATATGCAAATGACGGGCGGTTGTTATGTTATTGTGATCACAGAAAGCTTGAATGGTTGGTGGTTACTTCTTTTCGTCTTATTCAATTATGAATTTGAACTTTTCTCGACTTGTTACCAATAAAAATTTGTACTTTTTTTACCTTATCTTTTCCTAGTTTTGCCTTCCATGATTGATATGGAAAGCTGCTTGGTACAGGTATCTTCGGCGAGATCTGGCAAAACTTGTTGATGAAAATCCACCTGCCATAATTCTACTCTTTGAACCCAAGGGCCGTCCAGAAGATGAGGGCAATGACTTCTATATTCAAAGTAAGAAAAATATATGTGTTGGATGTGGTGAAGGAAATCACTATTTACGCTACCGAATAATACCGGCATGCTATAGAATGCATTTTCCAGAGCATCTAAAAAGCCATCGTTCTCACGATATTGTCCTGGTTTGTGTGGACTGCCATGAAAGTGCTCATACTGCTGCTGAGAAGTGTAAGAGACAGATAGCTGCAGAACTTGGAATACCACTTTACATTCGTAAAGTAGTAGATTCTAGTCAAGCCCAGGGTATGTCATCTGCATCTGTTTTAAATCTTGAGGAGGCAGGTGTGTCTCCTTTGGAGTTGCGAACATCAGCTATGGCTCTCTTACGCCATGGAACGAGAATGCCATCTAAGCGCCGAGAAGAATTGACACAGGTGTGAAAGCATAATATGGTTGTCAAATTTTGTAGCATAGGTATCATATGACTAATAGTTTTCTGTCGTTGGATAATAAGCAAAAATAGCAATCATCAGTTATCTGTACGTCAGTATGTGGATGGTAGATGTCAGACTTCATCACAATTGTGATTAATTTTATAAATACAACTCTGCTTGTGACTATTAATCTATTACCCAATTATTTTCGGTGTGAACTGCATTAATGATTTACCTGCCCAGTAAGTATTACCTAGAGAAGAAAAAGCCTTGTCCAGTCTACAAGTGCCGATCTTATCAAATGCTGCACATGCCAACATTGACATGTGTTCATGGGTAAAATCTGTGGCAGGGTTAGACTCTAGGGAAGAGTTTCAAGGGGATGGAGGTGTTGCACAATGGAACCAAAAGGGATGCGAAGAACCCAGGGGTGTGTTGGAGAGAGGGAGAGAGAGCAGGGGGAGAACAGTTAAGGGTTGATGTTTTTGTTTAAACCAGAGGGAAGGAATTTAAGAGGACTGGAATAAATGCATTTAGTCAAATACTACTGTTTTTCCTCAACCTAATTGATATGGTAGATATTAGGGAGTTTTGTGTGGTTTGTTGGCATGGGCATATGAGTCTCATGTGGCATGGAAGGATCCAAAATTGGTATGAGGTGTACTGTTAATTAGTTTATAAAGACAGGTGAGGTTTGAAGTGTAAGTAAAAGAACATAATAATGCTACCTGACTTTTCATGTTAGGAGTGTGAAATCTGTCCTTTTGCAGGTTGGTTGAAGTATAGAATACAAAACCTTGTTGGGAACTGTTAAGAATTATAGGGTAGAATGTGTAAATTGTTAATAGTAAGAGGCTGTATGTGTAATTCGTATTACTGTAGGTTAACTATAAATACAAGTGATGTATGAGAGGTAGGTTAAGTTTTTAATATCTCTCTTTCTCTCTAATATTGTGTTATGTTAATTCACTCAACTTAACATGGTATCAGAGCTATATACGATCATAAATATATATTCTAAATAAATTTTGTTCGTTGAAGTGCTACTGTTGTGGTGGTTGTTGTTGTTTGGTGGCTATGGTCGTGGTGGTGTGGCTGTGGTTTGTGGTGGCTGTTGTGGTGGTTCGTCATCGGCGTGGTCTGTGGTGGCTGCTGTGGTCGGTTCGTGGTTGTGGTGGTTCATATTGTCGGTGGTGAGGTGCAGGTGGGTTTTCTGAAACCCTAACCAACGAAGAAGAAACAGCCCAACCCGATCCACTTCGGGTCAACCCAAATCTGACCCAATCCATTGTTTGGTTCAATGCAGACTAATTTCAGACCGGTTTAGCTAGGTTCAGTGCTCCATCAAGCAAAACCGGCCCAATTCAGTGCTCCAGCAAGCCAAACCGGCCCGGTTCAGTGCTCCAGCAAGCCAAACCGGCCCGGTTCAGTGCTCCAACAAGCCAAACCGGCCCAGTTCAGTGCTCCAACAAGCTAAACCGGCCCGGTTTAGTGCTCCAGAGGGCTAAACCGAACCGGTTTAGTGTTCCAGTAACCTTTTCCAACCCAGTTCAGTGGTCCAGCCATCTTTTCCAGCGCGGTTTAACCTTCTAGTAGTTTCTTTTTCTCTACTTCAGCATTGTAATTCTTCTTGTTTACTATTTGCTGGATTGTTATGGAACCCAAGCAAGATACCAAGTCCCTTACTCCATCTTTGTCTTCTCCAACTCTTATCAATGGTCCCATGATCTCTGTCAAACTTAATGGGACTAATTACAATTTATGGTCCCGATCTGTTCAAGTCTTTCTTAGAGGTAAAGGATTTAAAAAATATCTAGTGGGTTCTAAACCCAAGGAAGACACTCCTGGGTATGATCAGTGGGAACAAGAGGATGCTCAGATTATTTCTTTATTATTGAATAGCATAGAGCCCAGTATTAGTTCTTCTCTGTTTTATCTTGATACTACCAAAGAGATATGAGATCACTTGACCACGATGTATTCTGCTACAGATAATTTTACCTGTGTGTATGAGGTGTGCAAGGAGTACTTCCAGTTAGAGCAGGGTACTCTGAGCCTTGCGAATTATTACTCTCATGTTCGAGGAGTCTGTGAGAAGATGAAGACTTATCATTCGTTTACTATTGATGCAGCAGTTTGGCAAAAGTAACATGATGACCTAAATGTTGTTAGATTTTTGGTAGGATTGAAACCTGAATATGAGGCTATTCGTTCTCAGATTTTGGGTGGATCTAGTCTTCCATCACTGCTAGAGGTTTTTTCTCATTTACAGCGTGCTATACTGTCTACTCCTTCAGTCATTGATCATGGTGTCTCCACTGATCGCTCAGCTCTTATGGTTCCTAATAGCCATAGTGATGGTCATCAAGGTGGACGTAGTGGTTGCGGAGGTCGTACAAGTGGTCGTGGGGGTCGTAGTGGATCCCGTTCCTGTACTCACTTTGGCCGTGGAGGACACACTGTTGATAACTGTTGGGATTTACATGGAAAACCTTCTGGTACTGCTAATCAGGCTTTTTATCAGAATGATACCTCTATTGTTGCTTCCATACCTCGATCAGCTCCACCAGACATTGGGTCGGTTACTATTACACTGGGTCGAGAGGACTATGCTCAGTTCCTGTCTCAGCAACAGGCTATTTCATCTCCCTCCACTGTTACTTTTGCCCTGCTGCCACCTGTTTATTGTCCTCCACTCGCAATCCTTGGATTATAGACTCTAGCGCCTCTGACCACATGATTGGTGCGTCTGACGTTTTCTCTACTTATCAGTCTGCTACTTCCACACGTAGTGTTACTCTTGCTAATGGTACTTGTTCTTGAGTTTTAGGTTTGGAGACTACTCACTTGAGTCCTGATATGTCCCTATCTTCCGTGTTATTTGTTCCTCAGTTTCCTTTTAGTTTACTTTCCATTAGCAAGATTATTTGTTCTTTCAATTGTTATGTAACCTTTTACCTTTCTTATTGTGTCTTTCAGGATCTCAAGTCTTATTATGATGTGTCTATTATGTTCACAATTTGGGTCCTGGATTTGACAAACTTGACACTCGAGCTACCAAATGTGTATTTTTCGGTTATTCCCGCACGCAGAAGGGGTATCGTTTCTACAACCCTTCTCTGCACCAATACTTTACTAGTATCAAGGATCAAAATGTCGTGTCGACACGTCCGAAACGTCCGAAACGTTTCGGAATTTCAACATGCCGAAACGAAACAGTAGTTGAATCACAAAATTCCAGTGTTTCGGTTGAAACGGCACTGTTTCGGACCGTTTCGGTCGAAACAGTACTGTTTCGACAAAACAATGATATATTCGGTTCACTATAAATAATTACATTTAATACCCACGGTAATTACATTTAATACCCACTATAATTATATTTAAAACCCCATTATAATTACATTTAATTCCCACTGCTCTTCTGTCTTTTATAATTTTTTTGTTATAAGAATAAATAATTACACTTAATACCTTACTGTAATTATATTTAATACCCCACTGCTGTGCAAGTCTTTTGCTTTTTTTTTTTTGGTTATAAGTATTAACAATTACATTTAATATCCACTGTAATTACATTTAATACCTACTGCAATTACATTTAATTTTTAAGTATACATAAGTACCATTAATTTAATTTGATACCCTTCATTATTAGTATTATAATAAAATAGTATTATTAATTGGATAATATTACCGTAATAATATGAGTTGGAGTAACTATTGTCATCATATTTATGTCACATATGGAGTTTCTCTAAGTAGCTACCCAGAGCCTACACCGATGTATGAGCCTGCTCGACACTCCACAGGGGAATGGATGTAACCATGTAAGTATGTACTCATTAGCATTTCATGTGTATTATAAGACCTTAATATTATGTAAAAATGTGTTTATTTCATAAAAATTAAGTGTTTGAAACTAATTTAAGTGACTTTCGCCTCAAGTCAAGCCTTTTTTTCCCTCAAATTTAAATTTATTCTTGTATAAATTGATGTTAACCTAATAAATATGTTGAATTAATAAATTATTTAGCATATCTTTATAAATTAATGGATTGCATTTGTGTTTCTATGCGTTTCCATATTTTTTCTGCGTTTCCATTGCGTTTCCGAAATGTTTCCGAAACGTTTCTANCTAGTATGAATGTCACATTTGAAGAATCTGTTTCATACTTTTCAGCATCTTTTCAGCCTTTGAATTTGGAATTTGGATCTTCTCCTGTATCACCATCCCTTTCCTTATCTTCAGATATTCCGCTGCCCACTGTGTTACTATCTACTTTACTTCTCTGTGTCTACTCTCGGTGTTCTCGCCCATCGACTGAAGTGTCCGTACCGTCTTCCTTGCCGCCTTCTGATCCTGGAACTTCAGCTAATTTAAGTTTTTTACCTATTGCTCTTCGCAAAGGTACTCGTTCGTGTGTTACTAATTATCCCATTTCTCATTTTTGTTTCATATGATCCCTTGTCTCCTGTCTTCTCCTGTTTTACTTCCCAATTGTCTGCTATATCTATTCCTAAGCATTTACAGGATGCATAATTTGATCCGGATTGGAGGACAGTTATAGAGGAGAAGATGACTGCTTTACATCATAATGAGACTTGAGATCTCGTTCCTTTACTCTCTGGTAAACGAACTGTTGGCTGTCGGTGGGTGTATACTGTTAAATTACACCTTGATGGTTCTGTGGAATGTCTCAAAGTTCGGCTTGTTGCAAAGGGCTTTACTCAGACTTATGGTTTTGATTATGAGGAGATTTTTTCTCTTGTTGCTAAAATTTTCTCTATTCGTATCTTGATTTCTCTGGCTGCTAATCTTGATTGGCCCTTGTTTCAGTTAGATGTCAAAAATGCCTTCTTACATGATGATTTGGTTGAAGAGGTCTACATGGAGCAGCCACCTGAGTTTACTGCTCAGGGGGAGTATGGTAAGAGTGTATGTCAGTTAAAAATTTTTTTGTATGGTTTGAAGCAATCACTGAGGGTATGGTTTTGTAAGTTTTCAGATGCAGTCTTAGAGTTTGGTCTTCTTCGGTGTCAGACTTATCATTTTGTGTTTCATAGGCAGACAGATGCTGGGTATGTTCTATTGGTGGTCTATGTAGATGATATTGTGATTGTTGGAAATGATTCTGAGGGGATTACCAAGTTAAAAATATTCTTACAGGATCGATTTCGTACCAAGGGTTTGAGAAAACTCAGGTATTTCTTGGGTATTGAGGTGGTTCAATCTAAACAGGATATTTGTTTATCTCAGAGGAAATATGTACTTGACATGCTTGGAGAAGCAGGTTTGCTGGGTGGTAGACTGATTGATGTGCCTATGGATCTAAATCAGAAATTATTGATGGATGATAGTGTATTGTTTGAGAATTCGGGTCGGTATCGCAGATTAGTTGGGAAGCTTAATTATCTCACTATTACTCGACGGAATATTTCATATGCAGTCAGTATAGTAAGTCAGTTCATGGGATGTCCTAGAGTACCACGTTGGGAGGCAGTTACTCGTATTCTGCGATATCTCAAACGAGCTCCTGGACTTGGACTGCTATATCGAGTTAATGGACATTTTAGAGTGGAAGGTTTCTCATATGCTGATTGAGTTGACTCTCTTTCTGATCGGAGATCAACCACTGGTTATTGTACTTTCTTAGGAGGTAATGTTCTCTCATGGAAAAGTAAGAAACAACCCGTGGTAGCAAGATCCAGTGCTGAGGTTGAGTTTAGGGCAATGACACATACGACAAGTGAGTTGACTTGGTTACTACACTTCCTCCAGAAAATTGGGTTTCCAGTTCAACTTCCTTTACAGTTATTCTGTGACAACCAGACAACTATCCATATCGCTGTCAATCCTGTGTTTCATGAGAGAACCAAGCATATTGAGGTTGATTGTCACTTTATTCGGGATAAGATAGTAGTTGGGAAAATTACAACTCCATTTGTGAAATCTTAAGATCAGCTGACAGATATGTTTACCAAAGCATTGAGTTGTACACGTCTTACAGTTATTTGTTCCAAGTTTGGATTATATGATATATATAGTCCAGCTTGAGGAGGAGTGTTAAGAATAATAGGGTAGTATGTGTAAATTGTTAATAGTAAGAGGATATATGTGTAATTCGTATTACTGTAGGTTAACTATAAATAAAAGTGATGTATGAGAGGTAGGTTAAGTTTTTAACCTCTCTCTTTCTCTCTAATATTGTGTTATGTTAATTCACTCAACTTAACAGGAACTACCATGTTTCAACTTGGAGAACCACCTTCCTACAACATGCTAAGCCTGTCTTTATATGCTATCCATCTATGGTTGCCTTCATGATAATTATAATCTTTGACTTCTGTCTCACTGCTCATATTTATTTTTCTTTGTCTTGACTATGTACTTCTTCCCTTTTCTAATACCTTTTTCAGTATTGATTTCATTTAACAGTTGGTAATAGTATTGGTTTTCATCCTGTTTCTTTTCTTTTTTCTTTTGTATTTCTTTGTTTTTCTTGTTGGGAGTACCTTTCGGTACTAGTCATGTACCCAAATGGTTTGTTGTAAGTAATTCCTTTTTGGTTTAATCCCACATGCTGGTTGATTTGTACAAAGCCTTAATGTTAGCCATGCTTTGGTTGTCGTGCCCATTGACAAATAATGAACTTGTTAGATTTTGTCGCTTGTGGCTTTCTTTCCATCCATGTTATAAATAGCAAGATTGAAAGGCAAACTCTTGTTATTCACCCCAGAATAATGAGAATAGCATCCGTGTTGTTAGAATCGGCATATAAAGAATGTTGGAAACTTGATTTAACTTCATCAACAGAGTAATAATTGGCTGTGTAGAACATTAAAGGGATGTAAAATTCATCTGCTAACTTCTTCTTTTTTATTTTAATTATTTATTTATTTGTGTGAAATGGGAGGGTGAATCAGTTTATATTATGTAATGTGTAATTTGAATAATTGTGTAGTCCTCTGTATTGAAATGTGTTTTACGGAGGTTTGTAGAAGTTAAACTTTGCAAACATTTCGAGCTTTTATCTGGATGCTTTTGTTTTCATTGTCTTTGCAGGTTGTAATGAAGTATTTTGGAGGAAGGGAAATATCACAGGAAGATTTGGAAAGAGCTTTGCTAGTTGGAATGAGTCCTCATGAGAGACGACGCCTTGAGAAAAAGAGAGGGTTGTCATTTAAGCATTCTACGAGTATCATTCCAGACAAGGATCCGGAGAAGAATAATGGTAGTGGGACAACTTCTACCCTTCAAAATACATCGAATGGTGATAATGCAAATGGTTTATTCACAAGTAATGGAGTGACATGTACCAAAGAAGACTGTAGCGACCTTCTATTAGTAGCAAATGTGGATGTAAGCAACCGTACATCTTCTGATTTTGGGCTTAATGAGGAGGCCTATGCCGCTGTTAGCATGGATATGAACTCAAATACTTTGGATTCTGATTTGAATTCAGAAAATAGAAATTTATCAAATGGAGCACTTGACTTCGTTCACCCTAGTTCTAATACAACCTTTTCAACTAAACGTGATTCGAAGTTATCGCTATTGGGACATGGACCACATGGGAAACAAGTTGTAGATCATCTGCTTAAGGAATGTGGGGAGGAAGGGATTCGCCAATTTTGCCAGAGATGGAGACAAGTTTTTGTTGAAGCCATTCATCCTCGTTTCTTACCTGCTGGCTGGGACATAATGCACAGGTATTCTGCTTCTTGTTTATGCTTATTATGATCTATTTCCTTTACATTATAGCATACTTTTGAGAATCAAAAGACTGATGTGCTCTATACAGAACCACATTCAAAGCGATCTTTTCATAGGGATTTAGGTAGCGTGCTGCACTAGGACAGGATTAAGATGTAGGTCTTATCCATTCCATTTCTGTAGGGTTTAGATTGACTTTGGACTGTCCCATTGCATCAATCTTCCAAAATAAAGATTGAACCTTTTGGCTCATCATGAATGGTGTACTCATCACAGTGTTGCTGCTGTCGGACCTCCACTGTTGTTCCACCAACATCACATTTATTGGATGATCCATTTTATAAAATTAAATTCAATTGGTGGATTTAAAATATGCTCATCTTTTGTGAATTTACATATACACAAGTGGAATAGATATAGTAATTCTGGATTACTTGTTCCTTCCTGGAAGACTAATGAGAGGCTTCATTGTATACAGCATATATTGTGAATAAAAATGTCCACATATTGTTCTGTAGTGGACATTTATCAAAGAGAAAGAAAAGTATAGAAGGGGAAAGATTGGTCTCTCTCTAAGGAATGGAAGAAGCTCGGTAACATACCAAATCACCAATACTTCCACAGCCATGAAAATTTTCATAACATATCCCGTTGTGCAAATTATGGGCATGGATACCGAATGTCTAAAACTATGATGTAAACTTTATAGAAATGTGTAATCATATTCTGCGCCTGATTCTCTATCGTCTTTGTGCAAAGGATTTGATATTGGTTTCTTTTTGCCAGTGGTAGAAGAGAATTCGGTGAGTTCAGTGTATATAATCCTGCAAAGAAGGCTGCTGATGCCAAGGATGTGTAGACAAAGCTGAGATATTGCAACAAACATCATGCAACTTCATGCGTTGATGTTGCATATAATGGATATCGAACAACAACAGATTCTGTTTTCATGGAGTTTGGTTTTAGCAGGGAGTTTCATATTAAATCTCCCACTTTGTTGATTCTTGTAGTTGTCAGAGGGATTTCTGCTTTTTATTTCTCCTGGGTAACCTAATTGGTTCATCCATTGCATTTCAGATAGAACTTGAACCATCTGATATCTGGTTTGTTATAATGAGTTTTGTGATTTTAATGGCATTGAACCGCTGGTTTGNGTTTATTGGATGATCCATTTTATAAAATTAAATTCAATTGGTGGATTTAAAATATGCTCATCTTTTGTGCATTTACATATACACAAGTGGAATAGATATAGTAATTCTGGATTACTTGTTCCTTCCNTTAATTCACTCAACTTAACAGGAACTACCATGTTTCAACTTGGAGAACCACCTTCCTACAACATGCTAAGCCTGTCTTTATATGCTATCCATCTATGGTTGCCTTCATGATAATTATAATCTTTGACTTCTGTCTCACTGCTCATATTTATTTTTCTTTGTCTTGACTATGTACTTCTTCCCTTTTCTAATACCTTTTTCAGTATTGATTTCATTTAACAGTTGGTAATAGTATTGGTTTTCATCCTGTTTCTTTTCTTTTTTCTTTTGTATTTCTTTGTTTTTCTTGTTGGGAGTACCTTTCGGTACTAGTTATGTACCCAAATGGTTTGTTGTAAGTAATTCCTTTTTGGTTTAATCCCACATGCTGGTTGATTTGTACAAAGCCTTAATGTTAGCCATGCTTTGGTTGTCGTGCCCATTGACAAATAATGAACTTGTTAGATTTTGTCGCTTGTGGCTTTCTTTCCATCCATGTTATAAATAGCAAGATTGAAAGGCAAACTCTTGTTATTCACCCCAGAATAATGAGAATAGCATCCGTGTTGTTAGAATCGGCATATAAAGAATGTTGGAAACTTGATTTAACTTCATCAACAGAGTAATAATTGGCTGTGTAGAACATTAAAGGGATGTAAAATTCATCTGCTAACTTCTTCTTTTTTATTTTAATTATTTATTTATTTGTGTGAAATGGGAGGGTGAATCAGTTTATATTATGTAATGTGTAATTTGAATAATTGTGTAGTCCTCTGTATTGAAATGTGTTTTACGGAGGTTTGTAGAAGTTAAACTTTGCAAACATTTCGAGCTTTTATCTGGATGCTTTTGTTTTCATTGTCTTTGCAGGTTGTAATGAAGTATTTTGGAGGAAGGGAAATATCACAGGAAGATTTGGAAAGAGCTTTGCTAGTTGGAATGAGTCCTCATGAGAGACGACGCCTTGAGAAAAAGAGAGGGTTGTCATTTAAGCATTCTACGAGTATCATTCCAGACAAGGATCCGGAGAAGAATAATGGTAGTGGGACAACTTCTACCCTTCAAAATACATCGAATGGTGATAATGCAAATGGTTTATTCACAAGTAATGGAGTGACATGTACCAAAGAANAATTCCAGACAAGGATCCGGAGAAGAATAATGGTAGAGGGACAACTTCTACCCTTCAAAATACATCAAATGGTGATAATGCAAATGGTTTATTCACAAGTAATGGAGTGACATGTACCAAAGAAGACTGTAGCGACCTTCTATTAGTAGCAAATGTGGATGTAAGCAACCGTACATCTTCTGATTTTGGGCTTAATGAGGAGGCCTATGCCGCTGATAGCATGGATATGAACTCAAATACTTTGGATTCTGATTTGAATTCAGAAAATAGAAATTTATCAAATGGAGCACTTGACTTCGTTCACCCTAGTTCTAATACAACCTTTTCAACTAAACGTGATTCGAAGTTATCGCTATTGGGACATGGACCACATGGGAAACAAGTTGTAGATCATCTGCTTAAGGAATGTGGGGAGGAAGGGATTCGCCAATTTTGCCAGAGATGGNCGTGATTCGAAGTTATCGCTATTGGGACATGGACCACATGGGAAACAAGTTGTGGATCATCTGCTTAAGGAATGTGGGGAGGAAGGGATTCGCCAATTTTGCCAGAGATGGAGACAAGTTTTTGTTGAAGCCATTCATCCTCGTTTCTTACCTGCTGGCTGGGACATAATGCACAGGTATTCTGCTTCTTGTTTATGCTTATTATGATCTATTTCCTTTACATTATAGCATACTTTTGAGAATCAAAAGACTGATGTGCTCTATACAGAACCACATTCAAAGCGATCTTTTCATAGGGATTTAGGTAGCGTGCTGCACTAGGACAGGATTAAGATGTAGGTCTTATCCATTCCATTTCTGTAGGGTTTAGATTGACTTTGGACTGTCCCATTGCATCAATCTTCCAAAATAAAGATTGAACCTTTTGGCTCATCATGAATGGTGTACTCATCACAGTGTTGCTGCTGTCGGACCTCCACTGTTGTTCCACCAACATCACATTTATTGGATGATCCATTTTATAAAATTAAATTCAATTGGTGGATTTAAAATATGCTCATCTTTTGTGAATTTACATATACACAAGTGGAATAGATATAGTAATTCTGGATTACTTGTTCCTTCCTGGAAGACTAATGAGAGGCTTCATTGTATACAGCATATATTGTGAATAAAAATGTCCACATATTGTTCTGTAGTGGACATTTATCAAAGAGAAAGAAAAGTATAGAAGGGGAAAGATTGGTCTCTCTCTAAGGAATGGAAGAAGCTCGGTAACATACCAAATCACCAATACTTCCACAGCCATGAAAATTTTCATAACATATCCCGTTGTGCAAATTATGGGCATGGATACCGAATGTCTAAAACTATGATGTAAACTTTATAGAAATGTGTAATCATATTCTGCGCCTGATTCTCTATCGTCTTTGTGCAAAGGATTTGATATTGGTTTCTTTTTGCCAGTGGTAGAAGAGAATTCGGTGAGTTCAGTGTATATAATCCTGCAAAGAAGGCTGCTGATGCCAAGGATGTGTAGACAAAGCTGAGATATTGCAACAAACATCATGCAACTTCATGCGTTGATGTTGCATATAATGGATATCGAACAACAACAGATTCTGTTTTCATGGAGTTTGGTTTTAGCAGGGAGTTTCATATTAAATCTCCCACTTTGTTGATTCTTGTAGTTGTCAGAGGGATTTCTGCTTTTTATTTCTCCTGGGTAACCTAATTGGTTCATCCATTGCATTTCAGATAGAACTTGAACCATCTGATATCTGGTTTGTTATAATGAGTTTTGTGATTTTAATGGCATTGAACCGCTGGTTTGTTAGAATGAGTTGTGTCGCCATGGTGTCCTCGAGTATTAATGGCCTATGCGGTTCACGGGTATGATTCAGACCTCGCTCACTTATAGAAGCAAAACGTATTTTAGCAGACCTCAGTGTGGATCATACAGGAGCAACATCAAGGCTTTGGCAGAATTATCAAAGGTAGATTGATTTTATATCAACAAAACTACAAATACCCTTTTCTTTTCTTTTTTTCTTTTTTTTGCTGATGGCAAAGTGGGGAAGGGGACCTGCAATTGTCTCTAAAACAACTGAAATTTCTTTGATGGAAAAAGGAGAGTAGCCTTGACAATTTGCTCGACGAACTTGCCAATTCATCAATCTCCCAGTAGAAGGTGTGACTCCCAAAGTTTCTGATAACTTGGAAACTACAAGTGCATAAGCTATTTTTGTATTTTCCAGGAAAAAAAGTCATTTTTGGTAATAAAAACTTGCAGTATGTACAGAAAAAAGTATTGGGTTATTGAGGAAAAATCAATATACTTAAAATGTTTAATCAAGATCAACTAGGACAAATAAAACATTAAGTCGAATTCTTTTTTTAGTTATCAACTTCGGGGAAATGGTAAAAAAATGAGATCTATTATGGAACATACAATACATTACAAACGTAAGATAATTATGCTTCAACCAGGTTATTGTATTTCACCTTATAACGAAAAGAACTTAACTAAAATATTTAATAGCATAGTGATACATTTATACAAAACTTTTACCTTGAACACGGCAATGAAGTTATAAACAGTCAAGTGAAATTCAATCCATGAAATTATTTAATCTATACACAACATCGTTGTCGTAAAAGTTGTAATGTCAGAAGAATCATTACTGCAGGGTATAGAGGGAGAGGTCAAGAGTGTCTATACTGTAAAATTAATTTTCAACAAAATGAAAGACATATATGGTAGAATCATAACGGTAGTTGATTTCCAGATGCAACAGTTTCTTCCATGACAGACGAGGATTCTGTTTAAAGGATAAAACAGTAAGAAGCCAATTGTAAACATACATATAAAAAACAAAAAAAAGAGTAAAAACTAGGACAATATTGCTGTGTCGTATTGAGGGTACCATGAAATTATCCCAATTCATTACTACACTCTTCCGAAAAAAGCCTCTCAAAAAATATACAACTCAATTTTTTCCCTTGTACTCACTTAACCTTCTTTCTTGACTGTGTTGCATTTTCAAATCAATACCAGAGTTATGAGAACTTTTGTGAAGTTCCAACTGACCACCCTCCCATGATTCTCAACAGACTATGTTGCTGTTCATGCTATCAAATAAAATCCAAAAGTACCAACACCAAAATCGCGCTTTTGTTTGGAACATCACGATCTGCAAATCAGGACAGACAAGAACCATGAGTAAAAAGGCGGCCTACAACTCTAGGTTATTATTTCCCCGAAGGAGAGAGAGGAAAGGGTATACCTGTTGCTTTAAAAGATTACAGTGACAGCAATTGAGACTTGTGATCTATACCGTTGAATAAGAATGTTCCCGTCATAGGAACAAATTGTCTTGTGATGAGCTGTAGCAGAAACAACAAATGAGGCCTCAGGTTGCAGAAGCACCATCAAGCAAATAATTGGCAGTGCAGGAACTTCAGGCATCATGGTACCACAGATATGAACAGAAGGCAATGTATAGCATGACAGACATGACTGGACCACCACAAAGACGGAATTTTGCATATGAAATAGTTAGAATTTAGATGGAAGGCAAACCTTGATNCAGACATGACTGGACCACCACAAAGACGGAATTTTGCATATGAAATAGTTAGAATTTAGATGGAAGGCAAACCTTGATCACTTCCTGTGATGCAATTCCACCAATAAAGGCAGCAACTGCATGGAGCTCAGCAGCACCATATCGGCAGATCTCATTGATGAGATCCTCAGTTAAGGTTGAGCCATTGCAGCCCAAGTCACTAAGTAAGCTAACGGCTGTCATTTTCAATCGAGATATATCCTCATCCATCTCACTGCAGAATATTCATAATTGAGCTACATCATTCAGGCCATGACCAAAACAGAATAGCTTTTAGACACAGATTTATGGTGGCAGGCAATGGTATTAAGTGTTACCCATCAAATTGCCCAGGAAAGCTGTTATAATTTGCAGCAAACCGATCAACAGCTCGGAGCAGTATATAGAACCCCACAGCAACACTGTCACACAAAAATAGAAAACTTGCAGCATCACACATTTGCAATATAAGCCCACTTCAAGGGGGTAAATAAGACAAGACATATTCAATCAGTCAAACTCCATAACACCAAAAAGGCCAATAAACCGAGGTGCCCTCCACAAGGGGAACAGGTGGAGGAGTCTTCTGGGGGTTTTGGACAGACCNAACTTCAAGGGGGTAAATAAGACAAGACATATTCAATCAGTCAAACTCCATAACACCAAAAAGGCCAATAAACCAAGGTGCCCTCCACAAGGGGAACAGGTGGAGGAGTCTTCTGGGGGTTTTGGACAGACCTCCCTTCCCTAACACCACCATGGGAAGTATATGAAGACCTAATCCTGAGCCAGAAATGAGTAGGTGGATTAACATCTAGGTATATGTTCCTTTAATCTTTGGATTTCAGAACTGTGACATGACACAATAGAACAATTGACTATGTACATTTATTCTGAGACAGAAGAATGAGATTGAGAAAGAAAATTTTAAATTCTCCAACTATAAGTTAGCCTCCTAGGTTTTGTAACTGCTCCTTTGCATAAAGAGTCCATTCTGTGGAATGTTGCATGGAAAAGAGCCTTGAGAATCTCCATCTCCCTACAAAAGTTAGGCCCTTTCGGGAGAATTTTTGAAGGAATCATTAAACTATGAGTAACTTCTCATGTTCATTTTACTGACAGATACTATCTATAAATTAAGTGTCTATTTACCTGTAGTCCTCATCCGTGAGATACTTCTGTAATTCTGGCTGTATTGGAGAGGTGAACTCATCCTCGATGAGGCGAAATCTGCATACCTAAGGAATCATAGTTATCAACGTATGATTAAAAGACACCCACTGCAAATATTTGTAGATAACCTAGTAGAGGATCCAAAACACTTAGGACATTCTCTAGATACATACTTGTATTTCAGTACAAGCAAGGTTACCTGAAGGTCCAGTGCGACAATCACGCCTTCCAATTATTAAATTGGAACTATTGCAATGGCAATATAATAAGCAATTGTTTTGTTTAAACATTAAATGTTCATAAATGTGGGAACTAGTCTATAGGAATAACAAGCACGTAATTTGAAAAACCTTAGACAGCATGCAAAAGATCAAATGGTCCATGTAACGAGAAGATACTGGTACAGAAATGAACAGATAAACAGAATTTTGTTGAAGCAATAGCATAACTTTTTATGAAACTTTCATAGGAATGCTTATGTAGGGATTAGGGACTATCAACTGAAACGTGCATTGACAACTGTTTTTGACAAGATATTAAATTATTAAGCTTAGACTCCAGGCAGTCTCTTAAGGGGGGTTACGTCAATCATGTTCCTTTACAGCTTGGCACAATTTTAAATTTGTTTCAGATTTGTGATTACTTTAACAAGTTGAACAATCAAAGGAAAAATACATCCAATTTGTCAGCTATATATCAATCAAAGGAAAAATACAGTTCGGTACACATTAAATAAAAAAAAGCCGTGGTAAGTGAACAAACTTACTGTAAGCTTCCTTGCATTTTTACAGAAGCTTTTTATGTTCGTCTTCGAGATACTATCTGGATCTCTACCAATTGTCTTTAGAATCTTCCTCACTCGTTGCTCCATAACAAGAAAATCAGACTCAGCTTTGGCTTGGTAGATTTTCTGCAAGTTCACATATAGCCTGCAACAGAGCCAACAAATCCCAGTATCACCAGATCAAAATTTTTATATGTACATGTATTCAAACATATCAAGGCATGAGATTTTGCTTGAAAAACATTAGCCACTAACTCAGTCGAAGAAGTCATATCAGGTATTGATCCATCAAGAGGTGCCTCTCCACTACCTTCATTAGCAATGAACTCCTACAATGTCGGGCAAGACAATACACCATTATACAACTTCAATTAATGCAAGGTGTAAGGAAAAAGGTCATGATCACGAAAATAATAGAATGACGAATCCAGATCCACGAAGAATACACTACTGATTGTACATGATTTTATCTATCAAAAAACAAAATATTGTATCTTATAAATATTCATGTGATGTGTGCATGTGAGCACACATACATTGAAGAAAAGAGGGAATACAGGGTATGTCGCTTATGCCAGATTTTGAAATTCCCCACTATATAAGACAGCAACATCAACTTTCAAGGGGGCGGGTAGGCAGTCTGAAACTCAGGTTTAAGATTTGCTTCTGGCTTGTTAAAGTTGAGACAGGAAGTCACATCACAGCAACAAAATCTCACATGTGCGAAGGGGTGAGCCAAAGATAGAGGTCACAGCTCTATGGAGAACCATAACCTCTTTAAAAGGACCTATACAGAAACTCCAGGAGGAAAGTGNTGAAGGGGTGAGCCAAGATAGAGGTCACAGCTTTATGGAGAACCATAACCTCTTTAAAAGGACCTATACAGAAACTCCAGGAGGAAAGTGAGTTAAAATGCAATCATTCAATGCTCAATCCCTTGAAAATCCCAGTACTTACTTCCAGAGGAGCCAGAAAATGAGAAAAGAGTTCTGTAAAACTGAAGACATGCTCAGAGATTCACAAGTCCGACAAAGAATAAAGCACAAATCAAGAACCTCCCCACCAGGGACGGCGCTTTTTTAACGTGTGCCCAGGCTTTTCATAATTTGACAAGAATAATGACACATCAGCAGCTGAAAGATTCTAATTATATGAGCGAAGGAAATTCACTCTGAACACGCAGTTTAATCAAATCAATGTTAACTAACTAATTTTGGTGATATTAGAAAAAATAGTTTTTCATTAAACTTCTTCCAGGAAAATGTGAGTATTACCTTTAAAGCTGCCACCATCACCCAGAAGTCTGATGAATTAGAATCAACTTCAGCACAGCTATCATTTATAACTTGTTGCAGATTTGAACCTGAGAACCAAGGGAAAAAAGGAGTGTTACAGATAATGCACAACTAATTCCCCTTCAACGAGAGCTTCACAATCCATGTTTAACTTATAAAAATATATTCCACCCCTACGCTATCCTAAAACTTGTGTTTATAACTTAAATGGGTTGATGGATTTATGCCTGGGATGTATACAAATCGTTAGACAAGCTTGCAATATCAGATCCAGGCCCTAAATTTGAACTTGATTGAGACTAAGCCAGGATGGTGCCTCCAGAATCAGGATCAACCTTAGGCCAAGGTGGCGTGTGGCTACCCTTAAATGAGAATCATTAATTGATAAAAATAAGTGGTCATGCATTTCTGCAAATGTCTCTATGCATTTCTCTCATAGTAACCAGGCTTGAAAGCATTCTCTTTAAAAACAAAGGCATGGGCTCAACAGATACTATGCCATCACAACTGTAAATTATGCATCAACAATCCCTGTACTTACTAATTCCTCGAGGAGCAAAGACTTTAAATGAGGCTTCAATAGCTTCTTTATAATTGTCTTCATCCGTTGAGACCATATTGGTTTTAATAAGTTCCTAAGACATCCGATAAGAACACCAGCCAAACTGCTCAGTAGACAGCAATAGGAGAAAAGGCTAAAATATGAGATGGAACCAATTGTGTAAACCTTGAACTCTCTTTTTGCTTCCCTGGATGATGGAAGGCTTCCACCATGACTTTTGGCCCACTCCTCCGCCATCTTCACAAGAATAATAATATATGGTGTGTGCTTATGGGCTACGGGATCAGGCACATTTAAATCAATTGTTTCTGCAAAACTATCATCGACCGAAATGCAATCAGCATCATACTACTAAACTCCACATTTAAGCTATCTGGTGCACTGATTCACTAGCTTATACAGGTCAGTAATGTGTGATTTACTGAAAGTAAAAAACATGAATCAGCAAAGTCCATCACAGAGATAAAAGCATTTGAGGGGGGAAAAAACCTCCTGAGTTCGGGCCATGGGTTATTTAGCCGGAGATCATCCAGAAAATGATCAGGCTTTGATTCAATCACTGTATGTTCCTGCACAAAGAAGAAAATATGAGATTGGAACACCAAGCCAAGCTGAATTCAGGTTTTTGACAATTTTTCAGAAATCATTATCTACTTCTGTATTTTCTATATTGACTTCACAGGAAGATAAGTTCCGAAAATTGTCGATCGATGTGATGGTGTTACCCTCTTGCATCCAAGGATTCTATTTATGCAGTCACAATTACTGTTCTTGCACTCACTTCCCAAAATGCAAGACAATTATTTGAAAATTTGACCATAAAGTTGTATCACATTACCTTCAAGCTGATCCGAACAAATCCAGTGAGGCCATAAGAGCGGGCAAATATCAACATAACATTTGCCTCCCGACAAATCCTATCCAACTTCACCATCGAATCTTCAACCAACTGAAATTAAAGATATAGAAGTTGCTGAGTGCAAGTATAACAATCACAAATCTCAGCTAAGTCTGCAAAAGTGGATGACAGAATCAGCTAGGCAGCAAATAGTGATAAGTGAGTGATATTATACTAGTGCACGAATTCACACAAGAAATTGACCTTAAAAAAAATTCAAATGTCTGTTATATGTTCCTTTAAGAATAAGTTATCTTTTTCATGATTAGATCAATTAAAACTACACAAGACATGCAAAACTTAAAATCCAATGTGTCATATAAACTTATGAACCAAAATCATTCGAAAAGGAACAAACTAAGAAATGATCCACAGGTGGAATTGGACTCAATTCCACTTTACGTTCTCTGATCTCTCATTCCAGTAACTTTTCAGAGGATTAAATTTTCAAGATTCATCACCAGGTGAAATCCAGTTTCAACAAACCAGGTTTATCAGCCCTAGGAAGCTTGTTTTATGCCGCTCTCCAATAAAAAATCCCCTTCAACTACCCAAACCCAGCATCCTCCCAAAAACTCCAGAAGCAGTGCATACTTGTAACTACCCACAGTCAGCGTCCTCCAAAACCTCCATCTACAATCACCCAATCAATTCCTTTCTTGTGTGAGATCTCACTAGACAAGCCTCTAAAGAGTAGTGTGTCAACTTAGATCCTACTGTGACGCCATTTTTTAGCGTCTGAAGAGTTTTTCTAAGGCTCATCTCAAAGCAAAGGCTTTGTTAGGCATATGCCTGCCTCATGTGAAAATTTTTTTAACTTGTTTCCAAACCTTGAAGCCTTTGACAATTTCTTCCACCCTATGTTGTGCTCGAGTATTTGAGATACATTCGTACCTACACCATAGAAGCCTTGTATCAAACACTACAGGTCCACATCTCTAGCTTTCTTTAAAATTTACCAATTCCTTATGAAACCTTTTATCCCTGATTTTTCACTTCTACATGCAAAGGCGATTGATCACAGAACACTAATATTTTCCTTATTCAACTCCTTTTGTAAGCTTTTAGTTTTAACACAAAGTGAAATATACTTGCAATCTCAAATTTATTACATTCTGTACTTGTAATATAGGAGTGTAAACATTTTTCATGTTAATGAATTACCATGCAGTTATTTCCATAATTTATTGTTCGTGCTAATTTGTTTAGCCTTTTAGTTTCATTAGCAGATCTTCATACAAGATCAACTTAATATGCTAGCTTCCAAATTCAACAGGACGGTTGAGCTCAGCAAGTGGAAGTGTGCATGTGTGACAAAGCCAGCAAGCTGTGTACTCACATACAAGGTCCTGTGTATGTGTGTTTAAACTTGCACTAATTGATNGGTTGAGCTCAGCAAGTGGAAGTGTGCATGTGTGACAAAGCCAGCGTGCTGTGTACTCACATACAAGGTCCTGTGTATGTGTGTTTAAACTTGCACTAATTGATATCAACCTACTGGCCATGGGGATTAGATGCACATATAAGAGAATCATAACACCATATATATATAGTGGGACAGCATGTTAAACCCAGCACACCCTATGGATTACAAGATTATGTTTTATAATCCATCTAAGAACTACTGAATCTTCTTAGCAGTGTCAATCAACATAAGATGGCAAATTAACAGGAGAACAACAAAATCCTATATTATTACCTGTGTGGCAATTACCAATGTAAACTGTGAAAAGAACGCTGGGTTTGTCTCAATTAATGCCTTGGGATATTCTTCTATGAATTTAGCTTTGACAGCATCATTTAGCTCTTGAAGAAATGCACACACACATTTTGCCCTTGATTGCCCAACGCTTGATTCATCCACTACCAACATGAAAAAGAAAAACACGAGAATGGAAAATGCAAAACAAATAAATGGGCATAATTACAGCACATACCCATGAAGTTATTTCCAAGGTCACCCAATTCAACTTTAGAACCATCAACCACAGTGATACTTCCAATACCACCTAGAACAAGATTTTTTAAGGTTTCAGAACCAGTAGGTCCACAATTAAGCAAGCATATACTAGCTTTCTCGAGTGCAGCCTGTCCTTGCTCACCCCAAATCCTGAAACAAAATCACAACTCTTATTTATTTTTTGTCACCACAACAAAATTAGCAGGTCACAAATTTTCACAAACACACAGCCCCCTCCCCCCCAAAAAAAAAAAATACCTACACACAGTTATTATATATGCACACACACACACACACACACACAGATAAAAGTTTCAAATAATTAGATTTAAAATCAAAGAAAACCAAAATGGGTGATTAAAAAAAGTCAGCACCACCAAAATGATCAACCGAAATTAATACGTTTTTCGTTTTCTCAGGCCTCAAATTTGAAAATCTAATTTTTTCCCTGTAATCAAACGGAACATAGCGTAGCAGCTAAGAGGAGTGGCTGAGTGTGGGGACCATAGTATACGGAATCATAGTGGAGGAAAAGGGGAAATACAAGCCTTGTTGGAGAGCAAAGTGGTCCCTAAAAAAGAAAGATTGTATGAAGAACAGTGGAAGTACCTGAGCTGCCGATCGTATTTGGTTTTGGGTTCCGCCATTGCTGAGTTCGCTTGCTGGTTACGCAGAGAGAAATTGTTGGGGGAGAGTGAAGAGACACTGTCCGAAAAGAGAGTGCAACGAAAGAACTGTTTTTGCCAAGGAAAATTGTTATAGAGGCAAGGAGAATTATGATTGGGCCGAAATTATNTCTGTCCGAATAGAGAGTGCAACGAAAGAACTGTTTTTGCAAAGGAAAATTGTTATAGAGGCAAGGAGATTTATGATTGGGCCGAAATTATAAAAGGCTTTGTAGAGCCCAGACCCACACTCGGATTTACCTTAAGGTACATTATCCAGACTTCAACTGAAATTTGTACAATGACTGAGGAGGCCGGCCTTGGCTGCAGCTCGTCTGCGGTAAGGGACTTACCGCATGTCATGCAGTTTAATGAAACAGCACAGTTTTGTTCTTCTTTTTGCTTTTTTTTTTATCCTTACCAAAACGACGTCATTATGGTCCAGCCAAATCAGCATTAGACCCCTCACTTTTCTTTCTCTCGCTTCTTCTTCGTCCTGTCTGGTTCTCCCGCCTTCTTCACAGCTCAAACTTCTCCATCTTCTTCTTCATCGGGTTTGGTTCTCCCAGCTTCTCCATCTTCTTCTTCGTCGGGTGTGGTTCTCCAGCTCAAACTCTACAGTCCAACATCTTTTTCTTTAAGTTTTTTGAAGTTTATAGGTAACAACTTAAACTTTAGAGTTTCTTGTTTCTTGTGTGCTGAAGTATTTATTCACCATAACAAACCTCCAAATTAAGATGTCGACATCAAGTAGAACTGGAAAGTAACTTCCTGTAGTGTAGACAAATGGGAGGGAGCATGGAATCACATAAGAGGATATATTGTCATGATTGTAGAGGATATATTGCCATGATTGCAGGGGAGCATGAAATCACATAAGAGGATATATTGACATCAGTTAGAAGGCGAATGCTTTGGTCAGTCGGTTTTGAGAACAAAAAAAAAATAAAAATTCCCATTATTTGCGCCTTCAACCATTGTGGCTATTTAAAAAAATTTGAGTTTAAACTCTAAGAAAATTGATTCCATGCAAATCCTCGGCTTTTGCATGAGCAAACAACAGTGAATTTGAAGTATTTGGGCATATGTGGTGTAGGCCACAACACAACTAATTGGTTAAATATATATATTGACATTATTGTCAGTCAGTTCCACCTAGATTAGATAAAGTAAAAGAAAGGTATATTCAACATTCAATTGTGTAATGAAGGTTTTAAAAGGATGGTGTAACTTTCATATAGTTCAATCTTAGCTAGCCTTAGTAATTATTCCCATCTGACCATATAAAAATTAATGATACAATATAATGTCGATTCAATGGCAATATCATATATTTTTAAAGTAAAACAAGTAGTTGTAATAAGTACATAANAAAAATGCCCATTAATTACACCTTCAACCATTGTGGCTATTTAAAAAATTTTGAGTTTAAACTCTAAGGAGATTGACTCCATGCAAATCCTCGGCTTTTGCATGAGCAAACAACAGTGAATTTGAAGTATTTGGGCATATGTGGTGTAGGCCACAACACAACTAATTGGTTAAATATATATATTGACATTATTGTCAGTCAGTTCCACCTAGATTAGATAAAGTAAAAGAAAGGTATATTCAACATTCAATTGTGTAATGAAGGTTTTAAAAGGATGGTGTAGCTTTCATATAGTTCAATCTTAGCTAGCCTTAGTAATTATTCCCATCTAACCATATAAAAATTAATGATACAATATAATGTCGATTCAATGGCAATATCATATATTTTTAAAGTAAAACAAGTAGTTGTAATAAGTACATGAACTCCATTAAAAAAGACTAGTCAAAAAAATTGTCATTTGAAATTATTGTTGCTAGATCTCTGTATAAACTTTTGATGTGAAATTCAACCCCCATATTAATGTGAGTTGTTAAAGTAGTAGTGTTATGTTAAACTATAACTATCCGACCNTAGATTAGATAAAGTAAAAGGAATGTATATTCAACATTCAATTGTGTAATGAAGGTTTTAGAAGGAGGGTGTAGCTTTCATATAGTTCAATCTTAGCTAGCCTTAGTAATTATTCCCATCTGNGTTCAATCTTAGCTGGCCTTAGTAATTATTCCCATCTAACCATATAAAAATTAATGATACAATATAATGTCGATTCAATGGCAATATCATATATTTTTAAAGTAAAACAAGTAGTTGTAATAAGTACATAAACTCCATTAAAAAAGACTAGTCAAAAAAATTGTCATTTGAACTTATTGTTGCTAGATCTCTGTATAAACTTTTGATGTGAAATTCAACCCCCAAGTTAATGTGAGTTGTTAAAGTAGTAGTGTTATGTTAAACTATAACTATCCAACCGAAAAAATAAAATAAATAGTTTATTTAGCTAGCTAAACAATGGGAAATCTCTAAAAGTTGATTGATTCAAATTGTGAGAATTTATTTTTTATAAACTTTTCTAATTTCAACGTGAACGATCAATCTTTTATGTCACTTTTATTGATTTTTCTTGGATTGCTCGAGTTGGGAATCTTTGTCATTGAAATAGGACTGTAATTCTAATCAAGACCTTCTTGGAACATTTTCAAGTGTTGCTAGTAGGAAATTGTTTTCAATTAGCTTCATCTAAATTATACAAATTTTGGAAAAAAACATAATATTGGTTTCATTTTCACAACAATGAAAAAAGAGTTTCTGCGACTACTTATTCTGTTTGGAAAGAACTGTTATCTTGGACATGGTTTTTTTTTTTAAGAATTATGTAACCTTGTATACATGACATCTAGTTCCATGTATGACTGAAAGTTCCCTCTAATGTCATTTCAACGAAATTTCTTATTGTAGGATACTATGATGGATGATTTGGGAGTTAATGCGACTGATAATATACCTCATATTGGTATGCAATTTGATACGGAGGAAGATGCTTATGCGTTTTACAATAGTTATGGAGGGTCTGTGAGATTTAGCGTGAGGAAAGATTTTCAGAATAAAAGTTTGAAAGATGGCGTTGTCATTTACAGAAAATATGTTTGATGTAAACAAGGTCAAAGGGATCATGATAAAAGAGAGTATCAAATAAGGAAGCCTCGAGCAGAGACAAGAACAAATTGTCAAGCTCATATGTGCATATCTCTTAATAGAGAAATTGGTAAATTTCTTATGGTAAAGTGGGATGACAACCACAACCAACATTTGCATCTTGTTGAATGTATGCATATGATGTCATCCCAAAGGAAAGTTACCGCAGCACAAAGCATTAATATTGATATGACAGCGGATTGTGGATTGTCACTTAAGACTTCCCATGATTTTTTAAGTATTCAGTCTGGAGGAAAAGAAAGTCTTGGTTTTACTCGTCAAGACCAAAAGAATTACCTTCGTGAAAGGAGACAACAAGACTTGAGGTATGGTGAGGCGGGTAGTTTGTTGAAGTATTTTCAAACGGAAGCAGTGGAAAATCCATCATTCTATTATGGAGTGCAATTGGATGCGGAGGAGTATATTACTAATATTTTTTGGGTGGACCCAGTGATGATTATTGACTATGGCAACTTTGGAGATGTTGTCTCATTTGACACTACATTCAGAACGAACAAGGAGTATCGATCATTTGCTTGTTTTACTGGCTTCAATCATTTCAGGGAGACAGTCTTATTTGGAGCTGCATTATTGTATGATGAAACAACAACATCATTTCAGTGGTTGTTTGAGACATTTCTACAAGCTATGTTTGGAAAATATCCTATTACTATTTTCACCGACCAAGATCAAGCAATGACTAAAGCTATTTCTATAGTCATGCCAGAGACATACCATAGATTATGTACTTGGCACCTTTGTCAAAATGCTTTGAAACATTTGGAGAACATATATAAGGATGGTTCACAATTTCTTGCTCGATTTAAAGAGTGTGTGTATGGATATGAGGAAGAGCATGAATTATTTGAGACTTGGAAACCGTTGCTTACGGAGTATAATTTACATGATAATATGTGGATGAAAGTCACTTGGGCATTGCGAGAGAAATGGGGGCATGTGTATATGAAGAGGACTTTCACTGCGGGAATGAGAAGCACCCAATTGAGTGAGAGCTTGAATGCAGCTTTACGGAAGTATTTAAAGCCAGATCATGACATTGTTCAATTCTTTGTACATTTTGAANCTTGAATGCAGCTTTACAAAAGTACTTAAAGCCAGATCATGACATTGTTCAATTCTTTGTACATTTTGAAAGAATTGTGAATGATAAGCGATATAAGGAGTCAGACTCAGAATACTAAGCTAGACAAAAATTACCTAGACTGAAGTTGAAAAGAGCTCCAATGTTAGTGCAAGCAGGGCAAGTGTACACTCATACTATGTTTGACCTGTTCCAAGAGGAGTATGATATCTTTCAGTGTGCTATTGGGACAGCATGTGATGTGTTGGATGAGTGACATCAATTTGTGGTTCGATTATATGATGAACATAGAAAGTATTTGGTTGTGGTTAAGGCTAATGAAGAGATAGTCAATTGCAGCTGTCGAAAATTTGAAATGGAGGGAATATTATGTGGTCATGCATTTAAAGTCTTGGACATGATGAATATTAAGCAAATTCTCGAGCAATACATATATNCTGCAGTTGTCGAAAGTTTGAAATGGAGGGAATATTATGTGGTCATGCATTTAAAGTCTTGGACATGATGAATATTAAGCAAATTCTCGAGCAATACATATATAAGAGATGGAGACGAGATGCAAAAAAAGTTGTAGAACAGCCCCCATTTTAATGTCAAATGAAGAGAATCCCAAGTTAATGGTGGCATCACGTTACAGGCAGCTTTGTCCTAGAATGGTACAACTTGTTGCTCGATTCTCTGGTCTTCAACCTACTTATCAATTGGTGTCATGTGGTGGTTGAGGATTTGTTCATACAAATGGATAGTATGTATGCATCAATTGGTGATGGTGACGATGATTCAATCCATGAAAATGTTGACCCAATCCATGAAAATTTTGACCCAAGTGGAATAGATAATGTTGACACAAACTTTCTCCAAGTTAAAGGTTTAAAAAGAAAAGAAGGTGGTTACAAGGGTTGAGGTCGACTAAAATCTTGACAAGCGAAAGCAATAAAGAGAAAAAAAGGAGTTTCCCGACCATCACATATGCCTACGGTATCGTATAAATATAATTGTAGATTTTTTTAATTCACTTCATATTTTTATTCACTTTATATTTTTATTCACTTCATTATTGTAAGTATTTTTTTATTTCAGGTACAAGGTTTCAGTCACCCGTGTACATCAGCATATGATCATTC